AATAAAAGAAATTCTAGAGTTAATAAAAGAAATTCTAGAGTTAATGAAAGAAATTCTAGAGTTAATGAAAGAAATTCTAGAGTTAATAAAAGAAATTCTAGAGTTAATAAAAGAAATTCTAGAGTTAATAAAAGTAATTCTAGGGTTAATAAAAGAAATTCTAGGGTTAATAAAAGAAATTCTAGAGTTAATAAAAGAAATTCTAGAGTTAATGAAAGAAATTCTAGAGTTAATGAAAGAAATTCTAGAGTTAATAAAAGAAATTCTAGAGTTAATAAAAGAAATTCTAGAGTTAATGAAAGAAATTCTAGGGTTAATGAAAGAAATTCTAGGGTTAATAAAAGAAATTCTAGAGTTAATGAAAGAAATTCTAGGGTTAATAAAAGAAATTCTAGAGTTAATAAAAGAAATTCTAGGGTTAATAAAAGAAATTCTAGGGTTAATAAAAGAAATTCTAGAGTTAATGAAAGAAATTCTAGGGTTAATAAAAGAAATTCTAGAGTTAATGAAAGAAATTCTAGGGTTAATAAAAGAAATTCTAGAGTTAATAAAAGAAATTCTAGGGTTAATAAAAGAAATTCTAGAGTTAATAAAAGAAATTCTCGAGTTAATAAAAGAAATTCTAGGGTTAATAAAAGAAATTCTAGAGTTAATAAAAGAAATTCTAGAGTTAATGAAAGAAATTCTAGAGTTAATGAAAGAAATTCTAGAGTTAATAAAAGAAATTCTAGAGTTAATAAAAGAAATTCTAGGGTTAATAAAAGAAATTCTAGGGTTAATAAAAGAAATTCTAGAGTTAATAAAAGAAATTCTAGGGTTAATAAAAGAAATTCTAGAGTTAATAAAAGAAATTCTAGGGCTAATAAAAGAAATTCTAGGGTTAATAAAAGAAATTCTAGAGTTAATAAAAGAAATTCTAGAGTTAATGAAAGAAATTCTAGAGCTAATAAAAGAAATTCTGGGGTTAATAAAAGAAATTCTAGAGTTAATGAAAGAAATTCTAGAGCTAATAAAAGAAATTCTAGGGTTAATGAAAGAAATTCTAGAGTTAATGAAAGAAATTCTAGGGTTAATAAAAGAAATTCTAGAGTTAATAAAAGAAATTCTAGAGTTAATGAAAGAAATTCTAGAGTTAATAAAAGAAATTCTAGGGTTAATAAAAGAAATTCTAGGGTTAATGAAAGAAATTCTAGGGTTAATGAAAGAAATTCTAGAGTTAATGAAAGAAATTCTAGGGTTAATGAAAGAAATTCTAGGGTTAATGAAAGAAATTCTAGAGTTAATGAAAGAAATTCTAGAGTTAATGAAAGAAATTCTAGGGTTAATGAAAGAAATTCTAGAGTTAATGAAAGAAATTCTAGAGTTAATAAAAGAAATTCTAGGGTTAATAAAAGAAATTCTAGAGTTAATGAAAGAAATTCTAGAGTTAATAAAAGAAATTCTAGGGTTAATAAAAGAAATTCTAGGGTTAATAAAAGAAATTCTAGAGTTAAGAAAGA